TTTTTTTAAAAAAAAGGTGGGACACCTTTAAGCCCTATTTAAGCCAATAGGGCTTAAATACGAGAATGTTCCATTAAAAACGGGACTGATGGTCACCCTATGTTTGGAGCCACCATACACTCAGACTCCCCCAGAACAAGAGACTGAGAATGCAGGTGGGGTACAGACCTCTCCCTCACATCCCTCCCTCCCCTGGCTCCAGCCTTCTCTGTTCCTGAATCCCGCCCACTCTGCCCCTTCACCATCCCCATAACCCCCTACCCACCTTCTCAGAGCTCCCGCTACCCACACTGGGATCTCCTCCTCTCTGTCGTTTCTGCCAGGGGCTCTTCCTGCTTATGGTCTCTCTCCCTCCCCCTCTCATTACATCCTCACCCCCTCCCTGGAATCTTCCTTTTGTGACCTGGGCTCTTCTCTTCCTGCTGCTACAGCCCCCTCCCACCCCACCCTCAGCCACAGCAGCCACCCCTGACATTGCACCCATACCCCTCTGTGCCTGCACCCCCTACAGCTCATAGCCTGCTCGCCACCTCCTTCTCTGCCCCTCTCCTCTCTCCCAGCTCACAGGCCTGGTGCTGGGAATGAAGAGGGGAGAGCACAGAGATATCTTTGTGGAAGATTATAATGTAGAGATGCTCCCTCATAAGGGACAGGATTAGGACTATAGGGATTTAGATATATGCCCTGGAAGGTGGGGTTGAGAACACAGGGTAGCTGTGCACAGCTGGTCACCACAGAAACGCTCTAGTTTGTTTTATTAAGTTTTATTCCTGTCTCATTCACTGGTTTGTTGCTTAATGAACCCCCAGGTCATGACAGGAGGAAGTGGGGGGGACAGGCAGGTGATGCCCTTTGTACTATCCCCATGGGAACAGGCCTGGGGGCTAGTCAGTGCTGGGAGGGGACAGTGTCTGCCACGGGTGTTGTTGTCAGGGACAGACATTCCCTCCAGCCTGAGCCAGGACCGGGCAGATTATCAGGGGCGCTGTGTTTTTACCCCCAGCACTGTAACCAGGACAGAAATAAGGGCGGAGCGTCCCGGAGAAATTGTCAGTGAAAGTGAAGAGATGGGACCTGTCAGTCACATTGTAAAACGAGACCTCTCCTGCCTCATAGTCCAGGAAAATCCCCACCCGGCTGGGCCTGACGCTCACGGGGAGGGAGGTCGAGGGGCAGGTGACGGCTTTGTATTCCCCATCCGTCAGGCACACAGCCCAGTATCCATCCTCAGGTGATATATCATTCTCCCCCTTCCTGCTGACAGAATCCCTACAAACCCCCAGAGCCCAGTCAGGCTTGTCTCCCACCTCCACCTCCCAGTAACGCCTCCCGCCTGCGAACCCCTCAGCGCCCAGAACTTCAGGGTAAGTGTCAAATCTCTCAGGATTGTTGGGAAGAGCCTGTTCTTCGTCTCCATGTCTCACACGTTTCCGATCCTCGGACAGGATGAGTTTGGGCTGAGCCGTGTCTGGATCCAGAGTAACATCCACTGGGGAAAGAGTCACAGAGCTAGTGCCAGGGGCAGAGGCTGGTTACTCAGACTAATGGAAATTAACCTGTGTCCCAATTAATTGCTGTTTAATCTCTGATTATACAATCAGTCACCTAGAATTGGACATGGAGGCAAAATATCTCCCCAAGGGAGAGTCGTATGTTCATTGCTTGGGGCAGAGGGGTGTAAGGATGCAGACAGAAACCAGCTGGACACAGGGGAGGAGTGAGGTGGGGTAGAGGAGAGGGGCAGGTATTAAGGACGAAGGGCATGGGAGAGGTCCAGGCACCAGGTGGGCAGGGAGGAGAGGTGCAGGCACCAGCAAGAAGGAGGGGATGAGTGGGGAAGGTGCCAGAGGGTCAGAGAGGGGTGAGATGAGGGTTAGAAGCCAGAGTGGGGGTGAGGGGAGATGCAGGCCCCAGGGAATCTCTGTTGCTTTGGGGTCATGTGTGGGGGGTTTGTTGCTAAGAGCAGGTTGGTGCCATCCCCACACTCACTGGCCTGGAAGCCCTGCCCGAGGGGGCGCATCTGGGACTCTCCATACTGGCTGTCCCCACAGACACGACCTTCCAGCCAGGCAAACCCCACAGCCGGCCCCTCCCTCAGGGCATGAGCAGTATGTCTGGGTGGGGCATGCTGGGCTGGGGGCGGGGCTGGGTGATGGGGAGTTTAACTGGACACTGCAGAGAACAGAGACCATCTGTAGCAATCTGGACAGGGTAGCAGTCTCAGATCATACCTGCACATCAAGTCTGCATGGGGGTTTGAACAGGGGCAGCTACATCGATGCAAGAAAACCCTGTGGAGACAACCTGAGGACTTGTCTACAATAGAAATGGTACATTCTCCCATTGGCATCGGTAACCCACCTCCCCAAGATGTGGTAGCTACATCAACAGAAGAATTCTTCCGTTGACCTTGCGCTATCTACGCTGGAGGTCAGGCCAGCTTAATGTGTCGCTCAGGGTGAGTCCCAGAGTGGACAATGCTCAGAGAGCTCATCTCAGTGCCCCAGAGCCAAACACTTTTCTCCCTGGGCCAGGCCAGATTGGCCTGAAATGTCCAGAGTTTTCTCCCCAGGCTGGAGAGCGCTAAGGGACATTGTAGGGGGAAGCAGTTTAATGTCACAGGCAGAGGGGGGATGATCAGGGTCTCCCGGGCTTAGCTCTGGAGTCACAACCAGGCTCCATAATAACAACCCCCCTTGCTCCTCTCCTGGGATATGAACACCCTGGCTTTGCCAGCACAGCATGTGAGTCCCCTCCAGGGAGATCTCTGGCCCATGGCACTGACATGCTGTCCACTGAGTCTGCAAGGCTCATGCACTCCTTGAACAGCTGCTGCAGGCTGGAGCTGCCCTGACGCTCTCTACAGAGTTTACAGGATCCGCAGGCCCTGACAGGAAGAGGTTTCTCTGGACCCTGAGCTCTGACAGTGTTTCTGCTCCTGGCCCAGCTCTCCCTGCCCTGCGGTGCTGACAGGCTGCACCCTCTGTGAGAGCCAAGTCTGCCCCTTACAGCACATGTGGGGACATTGTCTGTGTCCACATTCCCTTCCCCCCATTCCTGGGACAGGGAACACCAGCCCCAGGGTCCCTCCCTTCACTCCCCCTGAGCAGGGGAGTGAGAGCCCTCGGCCTCCTGGGCATTGGAACCTCCCAGCACTGAATCCTGGGTCAGCGTGAAAATGTCTCCAACCGGAGAGCTCTGTGCACCCGGCAAATACACAGATGTGCCCCTGGGATCAGGGGCCAGGGCTGGTACTCACCCCCCTCCCACTCTGGGAGGAGAGGGGGCCTTGGGGCCGCCCATGCTGCTATCGGCCTGTATAAGGCTAGTTCGACAGGTGACAGAGCCAGTGCCCTGAGCTGTCAGAGCGTCACTGATGGGGCAGGAGCACTGTGGGGTAGTGCTGGGGGCTCTGTGCAATGCTGGGGCTCTTATGCCAGTGCTCTCAGTGCAGACTGGCTCGGTGCAGGGCTTCCCAGCAATCAGCCTTGCTCCAATCCTGTCTGACCCTCACAGTGGCTGTGACGTCTCTGCGCTGCTGGGAGCGTGTGAGGGGTGAGACAGGCCAGATTTCCCAGCTGCAGACAAGCAGGGTGAGGAGGCCAGTGGCCCTGCAGAGCCTGCTCCAGTCATGAGAGCCCCACAGCGTGCCCCTCAAGAAAGCTGCATTGGGTTCATTTAAATTCCTTTAAAAATGCTGCAGAGACCCTGGTGCAAACCCCTGTGTGACTCTCCAGCTGTGCGGATGCGGCTGATCGGGTTTAGCTTCACGTTGGTCAGGAACCGACCTGAGCTGAACCAAACTCAGCCTCTGCCAGAGCGAAATACAGGAGTCTGGGCACAAACTGGAACCCGTTTAACTGACCTGCTCCTGGCAATTCCCTCGAACCAGGCAGAGGGGACGGGCTCAGGGAGGATGGAGACTCGTTTCTCCAGGGCTGGGCTGGAGTCATGCTGCTGCTCTCAGCCCCTCCCTGCGTCGTACTTGCACTGGGGTAGGCCCCAGGGTCTGTTGTTATTGCTCCTCCTCCCCCACTGGGGGTTTATCCCCCTCCCCCTCCAGCTGTGCCATCTCCCAGCTCTGGGGCACAGGAAATAGTGTCAGGAGGGGATGTAGGGAGTGAATCTCTCCCTGGGAGGGAGCTGAAGTCACCAATACAAGATCAACTTCAGTTACCTGCGAATCCTCGGGCTCTTCTGAGTCCTGGAACAACCAGCAGAGAGAGAGAGAGGTGAGAATTCACACAGCAGAGTCCACCCACAGCATCTGGCTCTGCACCGTCTCACAACAGACCAGGGTTCAACAGGCTCCGACTCCCCCTCGTCTTTTCTGTCCCACGTTCACCTGCTGGGTTTCTCTCCTGTACAGACCCCATCACATGCACCCAGCCAGGGGCTGCTCCATACAGGGGAACAGGCTCCCAGCAGCTGTTGTGCCCTGCCCTAGAACAGGGACCAGGATTCTCACCTCTCTCTGCAACCAGCCCCTCTGGAAGGAAAGAGAAAAAAAACCCATCACTGGCGTGGGTCAGTTTCACCAGGGCTAGAAGTCACAGCTCTGTCAGATGATGTGATAGGGACCATGGGGACTAAGGACAAGGAGCTGGCTTCTCATTTCAGCACAGAAAGATGCAGAAAGGCCCCTGGGATTTTCACAAGTGTCAGAATAGGTGAGGTGCCCAACTCCTATGGACACTAATGGAAGTTAGGTGCCTAACCTGCTTTGGGGCTTCTGAAAATCCCACCAGGTGCCTGTTTAGGTGCATAATGATTCAAATACCTCTGAAAATCTGGCCGAAGGTGCTCAGACACTATGGTCCATATGTTCAGCTGGTGTCAATCAAGGAAGCTCCATTGACGTCCAGGGAGCTGAGAATCTGGCCTTGAGTCTATGATAACATCTCTCACATTGACCAGCTCCGAACATTACCAAGAAATCTCACCCTTGTCTCTCGGCCCCACGCAGGATGTGTTGGAGGGAGACTCTCTCTTTGCCCGGCAGGAGGGGGCAGCCACAGGCATAGTGACAGCAGGGAAGGCACTTTCACTCCAAGCTCCTGTTCTCAGTGATTAATGTCTTTATGGGAAATCTGCCTTTCTGCCCAGCACAGCTTCCCTGGCTCAGAAATCCACCAGACCCTCCCCAAGAGGAGTCACTGGGGTTTCTCAGCAAATCCTGCTTGGCCTTTTCATGCCCCTTTGGGTTGTGTTTCTCTGAAGGCTGATGTGACGGGGTTTAACTGACCGGCACAAATACTCCTGGAAAGTGAACTCCAAGGTCCCTCTCTGTGCACCTCCTCCCAGAACAGAGACAGTCACAGCCCAGTGCCACGGCTCCACATTCAACCCCCCAACTCACACTGCAGAATTCCAGACCCAAATTCCAGAACTGGAGCATCCAGCCGCAAATCAGAGTGAGCGAAATACACAATTGTGAACAACCAATACAGCCGAGAGCATCAGCCCCTGTGCTCAGCTGGCCATGGACAGAGCGGGAATCAGCACTGGTCACACAGGTCACTGATTATGAATTATCTACTCAAATCTAAACTTTCCCATGGGACCTTGTTCTGTACAGCCAGGGGAGCTGGGACCCCACGGGCTCTCCCAGGATCTGGGTTCTTCTGGGCTGGGACACAGGAGTCTGTGTCTGGCTCTGATACATGGGGATATGAACACACAGGCACTGACAATAACCCAAACAACAGGCGCTGTCACTTCCTGCAGTCCCAGCTTGCCTTGGAGAAACCTCTCCCCCGACCCTAATACTATGAGACACAAAACCCCAGCAGCGTCCCGTACCCAGGAATCCCGTCACAGCCTCCTGGAGATTGTTCTCTCGAGGGAAATCCCAGATTCTCTTTTCCAGATCAGGGGACTTGGGAGCTGGATGTGGAGATGTCACCTTCTCGCCCCTGCAGAGAACGAGTGTGTTTATTTCTCTCTCTCATCTGCCCTAAGTTCCCGTCCCCCAAAGCCAGAAAGGGGAGCGGCTGGGAGCTGGGCCACAGGCAGGGCTAACAGGGCCCTGACCTTTGCTACCCAGGGAATTTAGCGCCTGCACAACCTGCCAGGGCCCAGCCTGGGGACTGGCGGCCTCTCTCCATCCAGAGAGAAAACCCAGCCCGGCAGTGCCAGCCCCAGCTCCCCTCAGACCCGACCCGGCCCGACCCATGAGTCCTTCCAGGACCTGGAGGGGCCGCTCCCAGGGCTGAGAGAGGGGCCCATTCTCCAGGGCCAGCCTCTCCTCAGTTTCTCCTCTCAGCCTCCAAGGGACCTGGTCACTCCCCATGGGAATGGGGGTTCTGGGACATGGAAACTGCCCCACTGGCGCCTGGGCTGGGACACTCAGCTCTTTCCCCAAAGGCCTCTAGGCCCCCCTCGCATGGGACAGGCTTTGAGCCATGACAGAGCTGGGGCCAGGTCCCAACTGGGCCCTTTGGGTGAAAGGGCTCCAGCCCCATTAATGATCCCCTGAGGTGGCCTGGCCCCCAGGGAGAGTTCTCCAGCCCAGAGTTGTGGGGCAGTCCCCTCCCCAGGGTGGGTCACACAGCCACAGCAGCAGGAGTCCCAGGATGATGGGAACAGAGGGGGGCTGGATCCAGAGGGTGAGACAGTCCTACGGTCAGAGGGCTGGATTTGTAGCCTGGCTTTTGAGCCTCTTCCCAGCACGATGGGGCGTTAAGGGCAGACAGAGCCCAAACGTACCTGCTCATGGCACGTCTGACACCCTAGAGTGGAAGGAGAGATAAAGCAGAGAGTCAGTGCCCATGGAGCAGCCCGGACACCTGTCCCAGAGGGGTCACTCAGCTCTCCGAGCACCAGCCCCACAGGCTGCTCCCCCAGTGGGATGGTGGAACTAAAGGGCTGTGCTAGTGGGAGCAGAGGCTGCTGGTCCCCCTGAACTGAACCTCAGGGCTGGAAGAGCCTTTCTCCAGCCACCCCCTGCCTCCCTGACAGCCCAAACTCCTGTCTCTCTGTAGCCCTGGGGCCCCTGGCCCTGCAGACACCCCAGGCTGCTTTCCCTGCACTGAGTTACCCTGTGAGCCCCGAATAACTCAGGGGTCGTCCCCTCCCTGCACTGGGCTCTGGGCGTGTCTGACAGTCTCACCTGCAGCAATTCAAGTGCCGGCTGCTGACACTTGTCCTCCAACTCCGTGATCAGGGCACTGAGCCGGGAAATCTCCTTGCACAGGTGGGTGATGTTTTCCTCCCTCCTCCCCCCAATCTCCTCATCCAGCTCTCCCAGCCGGGCCAGCAGGAGGTGCTCTTGTTCAGCCAGGAACTGGCGAAGCCGCTCGCACTCGGACACCACCAGCTGCCTCTCCACTTCCGTCTGTCTCTGGGGTGCACAGAGAGATACAGGGGCAGGGCAGGGACATGGGGTGAGTGGGGGATCATGGGAAATGGCACAAAGCCTTGTCTGGGCTGCACAGAGTGTTTCATTCAATACCTTTGTCAGTAGAACTGTGTCTGCACTAGGGCTTTTCCCATTTTGGTAAAAATGTCACCAAAAATCATTCCCCCAAAGCCCCCCCATCCCCATTTCTGTACCAGTAACAGATTTAACTGTAGATCAGGCCTTGGCAAATGGTGCTGCCCAAACCACCCAATGGCATCACTGGAAACGTCTGACACACACACCCTGGGATCAGCACAAATCTCCCCCTGCTTCACCCTGACCCCTGCCACATCTGTGCATGTTCAGCAGTGTTACTGGCCTCTCCCCCTGCCCCCAGTGCTAGAGAGGCAGAGCCAGAGGCTGCTCCTAGCTACCCTGGGGTGAACCTCTTGACTCCATTGGTAATTAACACCAGAGTCACAGAGGAGTCTGACCCTGACCCCACTGACATCAGTGGGGTCACTCCTGATTTACACCAGGTACCTGAGAGCAGAGTCTGCCCCGCACTGTTTAAAATGCCCCTGAACTGTCTCGCTGCATCGACCCTGGAAATCCTTTAACCTTCTGAATTACAGACCCCAACCAGCACAGAGACCCCCTGCTGCTGTCGCTGACGTCCCTGTGCAAACCTGCTGGGCTGGGCAGGGGCACCTACCAGGAGCCTCTCACTCTCCCTGTCCCCCTTGGATTTCAGTCCTAGGGGCTCTTCTCTCTCCTCCCGCAGACGCTGCAGGCAGCTCAGGATTTCCTCCTGCCAACACAGACAATGGCTCTGGGGGGTGGTTTGGGTTAATTGATTTTAGGGTTACCATCCGTCCATATTTCCACGGACATGTCTGGCTTTTGCGTCTTTAAATAGCCATCCAGGAGGAATTGGTAACAAGGTTAAAAGGTGTAATGACACAAACAGCCCCACCGGCAGTGTGTTTTGCCTACACGTGGAGCCAGCATATGACCGGCGTGGGCATGGTAAGGGGAGTCCCAGGGGGCAGTCAGGGAGCAGGGAGAGGGTTGGATGGGCCTGTCTGGGGGTATGAATATGGGGTGGGGGGGCTGCAGGTTATATTCTTTTGTGGTGCCCGAGCTCCAGCAATATCCAGGGCCAGGGGCCCTGCTCCAGCAATATTTGGAGCTGGGTCTCTCCCTCAGCCCTGCCTGGAGTGGGCCCCAGCCTCCACCTGCCACCCCCCCTCCGCACGTCCCCCCCCCGTGGGTCCCCCCGC